TAGCCGCGCGTAGTACTCGTGCGGCGGCTCATTCATGCGGCCGGGCTCCTACACACTGACGTGCTGCCGACGTCAGCAGGGAATTTAGGAAACGGGAATTGGGGCTATTTATAGTGGCGAAGGGGGGGGGGTGTGGGGACCTAGGCGATGGGGAGGGCGCCCGGAAGCAGGAACAGGGAGGGGAGCCCGTGCCCCCCGTACCGTCTACAAGGGGTTAACTTTCCGGAACTGCGGGCTGGGGGCCTGCGGGAGGTGGCGTGGGAGGGCAGCCGGGTCCCACTCTGGGACACCTGGGACACAGCCCCACCCCGCCCGGCCTTCCAGGTCCTCACCCGGCAGTCCCCACTCTCACACCTCGGGTCCTGGACCCAAGGGCTCGGTGACGTCACAAGATGTCCCCCGGCGGTGGCGGCGTTATACTCCAGAGCCCCTGAGGCGTGGATCACTGGGGTGGGGGCAGGAGAGGAAGCTGGGCCCTCGGAGCAGCATCCAGAGCTGTGCTGTGCGGGAGAAGTGGGGAGCTCAGGGGTCTTGGAAGGCTTTGCAGGAGGAGGCTGGGCCTGGAGGGACTGCCCAGTGGGGGTCCAGGGACCAGTGGGAGCTGGAGACTCCAGGCAAGGCAGGAAAATTGAGGACAGACAGGCACGAGGCCCTTGGACTCCCCAGAAATGAGCGGGGGATGGGGGGTCCTCTGTGCGGAAGAAAAGTTGTCAGGAGAAGGGGGGTGAGAGGGAGAGGAGCCTCAGCAAGTGGAGGGGGGCTGACAGGTCGGGCTGCGTCAGTTTCAGAGCCTGGAACCCCGCAGGCCGAGTTTAGGACCCATCTGTGGAATAATGGGCATTGGCAGAGCTCCTATGAGCGGAAGAATGAGCGAAGGAGACCCGGGGCTCAGCAGCTTGGCAGAGAGGCAGAGCAGAGCCCACTTCCGGGAGGAATTAGAGTTCCTGGAGGGCAGATTCGGCAGGAAGGGGACATGCCCTGTGGGGCAGAGTTCCCCTGGGCAGGAGCAGGGAAATGAGTGATCCTGGCCCAACCTAACTCCTCAGTTGAGGAGGGCTCTACATGGGGGAGGGAATGTGTTCAGAGAGAGGAGCT